ACACCAAACATTTTGTCACCAACAACCACCTCACCTGTCATCTCTCCACACTCAGTATAGTATGGTCCCTTTATGTGGATGCCCTCCCCCCCTCCACAAACGACTTCTTAAAAAAAGCCCTGGAATAAACCTTTGCCCAAGGTATCAAAATACAGGAAAAACAAAACATCATACAGTGATGGCGACGTTCATTAGCACAACTTTGTGTCTTGTAGCTTGTATTTTACTGAATGTTCAAGGGAAAAACGAACTAGTACCAACGTACTTTGCAAGAAAGTATAAGAATGGAAGCTATATTGATGCGACTATTAAATCCAACTGGTTAAAAATCACGCTGCGTCCTAGCTCAATGCTGCTACAAAGTTCAAACACAGCAACTCTGAATGTTCACCCTTCTCTTGTTAAAAATGCTCAATATGTCAATGTTACTTGGAAGGGTGTTGAAAATGCAAGCGCAGATGATATGATAGCTCTATATTGTCCAGAGACATCCAAAGACAATGACTATTATGACTTCTTTAATGTGGACCAGTCTTCAACGTACAGTCAAGGTTATGGTGAATATGCTGTGCGATTATATAATGTGAGGACAAATTGTGAAATGCGATATTTTCGATGCGCGAGTAGTTCAACAGGGCAGCAGAAATTTGTAGCAAGAAGTAATATTGTGATGTTTGAAGGCGGACCCGAGCAGCCATTACAAATGCATCTCGCTTTGACTGGAAATCCAACTGAAATGAGAGTGATGTGGGTCTCTGGCACTGGTGAGGCTTTTTACTAAAATAACATGAAGTATGCAGGCCCTATTTACCCTGACGTAAAAATGAACAAGCTGTCCCAGGTTGAAATCAACAGGCTTGAACAAGGTTGTCCTGCATCCTAAGAACAAGTTGTTAACAACGATGTTGCAGCGTTGTGCATTTGTAACAATACTGTAACAACATTGTTGACAATTTGTTCTGAGGCTCAAGCCTATCGATTTCAACCAGAAACAAGTTGTGTGTTCTTTACGCGTGTGGACTTATTTCATATTCACATAAACCTTATCTCAGTTATCCACCTTACCAACCAAATGTTTCTGTCTACCAGATCAGGCACCCATTGTGAAGTTTGGTCGCAGCAAAACAAAACTTGGCTCCATCGCTGAAGGAAAGTCTCAGACATACACAGCAGATGACTTTTGTTCTCTTGAAGGAAAGTTTATTGATCCAGGATACATCCACGATGTTCTTCTCACGGCCTTAGAACCATCCACAGTTTATTATTATTCATGTGGTGTGACAGGGGTAAGACAATGTAGACTTACCTACCTAACCAAAAACCAACCCACCGACCCAACCGCCCACCCACCTACCTACCTACCTTGCCTAAACCCAAAATACCCACCCACCCGACCACCCACCCACCTACTGACCTACCTACCTACATATCTTAGCCACGAAAAACAAACGCTAATATATGTTTCACCAATTCTATTTCAGCACATGAGCTCGATAAGATCATTTAAAACAGCACCACAGATTGGACCAGACGTTGGTTTTAAGTTTATAGTATATGGTGATCATGGCATACTACCAGCGGCCTACACTACTGCTAAATATGTTTTAAATGATGTAAAGAATGGTTATGAGTTTATTTTTTACAACGGAGACATCTCTTATGCCAAAGGCATGGTAAGTCCAGCTTAAGCTACGTTTACACAGTGACGACGATTTATAGTCGGGCCGATTTCATGTTTTGCCGAATGTTAATGACGAATGTCATCAGATGTCGTTAACGTTTTCAAATATCATTTAATTAAAGCTGAATCGGTCCTGAATTAGCCTTCTCCCGCAGAATTTTGTTGCAGCCACAAAAACATTTTAGTGCAACCAAGGCGAATCCTGCGGAAAAGGTTCCAACCATTGTTTCATAAAGTTTTCATGTGTACCGAACAATTAATTGCGGAAGTCTCATTGCTTTTCCGAGTTTTGTTAACATACATTGTTTTGATACCACACAAACGTGAAGTAAATAAATTAAATACTGGCTGATTTAACTGAAAAATGACTTCATACACTCAAGTTATACTATGATACTGATATTGTGATTTAAAACGCATCAAAATATATTCAAAAACTCCAACTGCGGCGTGTGAGAGACCATACACCATTGCGTCAGATATTGCACTCAAATTTCGGAAGTGTTTATTGAAACAATATTTGATCTTTTACCAGGAGTATATTTGGGAACAATGGCACGCACTGATTGAACCATACTCCAGTATAGCACCATATATGGTAGGTATTGGTAATCATGAGCAGGACCATATTGATGACTCGGGCAAGGATCCTAGCGGGGTAAAAGGGGATGGTTGGCATCCTTGGTGGGGTACATTGAAGGATGATTCATATGGAGAGTGTGGAGTACCAATGTTCTATCGTTTTCATATGCCTGATAATGGCAACTATGTATGGTGGTAAGTCTTACCGGTGGTAAGTCTTATGGTGGTAGTCGTCACCAGTCCCATATGATAAGGATTCTTCCAAGTTTTCTCTAACCAAACACTTCTCTCTCTTCCCGTTCACCCAGGGCAGCATGAATTGTACTCAAATTCGTCCAGGTTCTCACTTGGAATATATGAAACCAGATGAATTCCAGCACATAGCTAATATATTATATATAGAATATAGAAGTTTAGAATATATCGTTGAGTATTGTCGGTTAAAAAAATGGTTTCTATTTAGGTATAGTTACGACTATGGCATGGTCCATTTTATCATGATCAGTACAGAACACGATCTCAGTCCAGGATCGAGACAATACGTTTGGTTGCAAGAAGATTTAAGAAATATTGACCGTTTAAGAACCCCGTGGGTGATCCTTGGAGGACATCGACCAATGTACACAAGTGAAATCAATCCTAGTATGTGATAATATCCTTGATCAAAGGCATTAATAATTCATGAGCGAGAAACTTGACCGAAATCAGTACCATATTACCGTATAGGCCTACTTAAACAACATAACTTTTGCCTAAAACTGTCCCTTGCAACCTGCTTACAATTTACGTTGTCGAATAGGTGAATCGTGTGCTTGACTTGATTCACACAACTCACTGTTGGTTGCATGCGACAGTTTTAGGCAGAAGTTGTGTCGTGTGACCTTGTGTAAATCAGCTCCATAAATCAAATGTTGAGTGTCTCTACAAATACTGGTTTCTTTGAGAAGTTAATTCATACAAGAAAACTGAGTTGATGAATTAATATATCAGTAGTCATTTGAAATACCGAAAAGTGTGTCGACAAACGCAGCCATACTATACTTCGAGGTTGTTTAAAATCTCTGTAATAAATGTAAAATGATTGTTCTGATTGTAGTGTATGATTAATAGTATTTCAAGGAAATTCAACATGAAAAATTCTTGATTATGGTCAACGATACAGTTGTGCTAGTTTCCTCTGTGTTCTGCTCATGGATTATTGGAAGTTTTGAGAGCCACCTTTCACACTTTCCTCAGGTGGCACAAATACCAATTGATTTAATTTTTTATTTAGAAAATTTCGTTGTGGCGTTGGCATTTCAGGTTCTATTCGAAGACCTATTGCACCATCACAAAGTTGATTTGGCATTCTGGGCACATTACCACAGCTACGAACGCACATGCGCAATTTACAAAAATGCATGTACTAAGGATGGTATTGTGCACATTGTTATTGGTACTGCTGGAAAGGACGCTTATGTCTCGCCGTATCTGCCACCTAATTGGTCCCTATTTCGCCGCCATGTTGATCCGTATGGTTACGGTCGGGTAACGCTCGCGAATCGCTCGGCTTTACATTTTGAATATTTCGTGAACAGCGAGGAGAAAGTCGTTGACGAGGTTTGGTTGTACAAGGATAACTAGGAAAATTGGTTTCAATAGACAATTTGCATGTTAGACTAATTTTTGATCTAGGCAAAAAAAAAGTTAATTCCCATAAAGAACTTATTAAAATTAGCCTGAAATTGCAAAATTTGGTTACGAAATGTTGTAAAATACGGAAAATATAATCTTGCGAAGTTTGCATATTTTGTATTTGTTTGTATTACGTACGACATTCTCCAAGCAAATTTTGCAATTTTACTAACTTCATTATGTTCTTGTTAGCTGTGATGTTTGATTCCCTTCTCTTTACTTAGATTCAAAATTTAGTCTGACATGCAAGTTGTCCATTGGTGAGTTTCAACTGATGTTTTACCAAACAGAATGATGGTGGCCATGAGAATTGTTGATACTTAATATAGAAGCAAGGAAATTTATTGACTTCTAAATTTTATATATTGATTACTGAGTATGAGATTTCTATTGCACATCTTAAAAGAGAATTAATTAATTTGATTAATTAATCTAATTTCTTTTCAATTAATTAAAGATAATTAAAGATAATTAATAATTAGATTTTGATCTGCGTGGCAAACGCTGCGCAAAATATGTTTAAAAAGCTGAAAAAAGAGACAGCAGTTTCTGACTGTGACAACTATCAATTGACGACCATCTGTTGTTGCACATCATTCAATGCTTGATGAAACTCACCAGTTTTTAGTAAAAAATATACAAGTATTCTGCTTACTCACAGTAAATGTTAGCAATTTAAAATGAAATCGTTTCATGCATATTGGCTTTCTCATCTAAATATAAATTCATGTAAATATTATAAAAATTAGTAAATAGGGGTCAGAAAGTATAATTTAATAACAGTTGCATGTGTGTGTTTTTCTATAAGTAACAGGTTATGCTGCGTTGCGCCGTTGCTTCGTTCGCATCGCAGTTTCCATGTACAAGGATAGACAGTCACAGATAATTGTCAACAGCATTTTGACAGGTTTTAATCTGATCAGAAAATATGTTGAAATTTACTGAACTAAATTAATTAATTATTTAATTTAATTAATTTACTGAACTAAATTAATTTAGTTCAGTAAATTAATTAAATTAATTAAATTTACTGCTTAAATTCATCAATTAATTTTTAATTAACTTTCTGGCCCTTTCTGGAACTGTTCATTCTTCAACTCGTACCCGGTAAGTGGCAATGACTTCAGAAACTTATACAGCTCAGTGATTGCATCAATATTGCGCAATAATTCCGGGGGGAGGTCTTGGTATTCTTGGAAGAAATGAACATGGCTGATAAAAGCACAGAAGAAGGGAGTTCAAAATCAACGTCTGATGGGCAAAATAATGAAGAATTTAAAACGGTTTCGCGAAGAAAACGTAAGAAAGATACTGCTGAAGATATGGACACATCAGTTAGCGCTATTAAACGACCAAGTTTTCCACCTTTATCAGGCGAAAGTTTGACGGTATGAATACTATGAAATGACTTTAATGGCCATTTTATATTAAACACGTGGGCAATGATTTCAGACTATTTTACTTTTGAAGCTACTACGTGGAGTAAAATCCTTTTCATATAAACCTTTTAGACTAAAATATGCTTTCGTATCTTTGAGGAGGAATCTGTATTAACAAATGGAGTGAATTGACATATTTACATTTTTCAATTCTTTTTATTTGCCTCCCAAATTATAGAAGACTACTAGTCCTACTAGTCTAGTATACAATGAAAGGAATGAACATTATTTTCTTACTCTGATAACTGCTGTCTGACCACCGTGCGCCCAGAAAAACTCACCTTATGGGTATAAAAAAGTGTTTAAATTGTGGATTTATTCCAGAGTGGCAAGGTTGAGAGAAGGAAGATCCCTGTGCCACCAAACAGATACAATCCTTTGAAAGACAATTGGATGCAAATATTTGAACCAGTTGTGGAGCATTTACATTTGCAAATACGATTTAACCTTGGCTCACGACATGTTGAAATCAAAGTAAGTTTTGTCCAAGCTTTATAATTGACTGAAGAAGAATAAACCCTTCTGGCAAGTACGTCACTTTGGCTATAGAGCCTTGTTTTCGCAATTGAGAGGCTTAAATTTAACTAATCTCTTGTACATGAAAATGAGGCTCTATAGCCAAATGATGTACTTTCCTGAAGGGTGTATTGACTAATAGTCCTTTTCCCCTTTTGAGTGAAATTTTGAAAGAGCATCACAAAATGAGTAATATTCCGAAGTTTCGTTGCGAAATGTTGTAAAATGTGGATAATATAGCTTTGCAAAGTTTGTAATTTTCAGTCATTTTGTATTACACATGGGAAATTGATAATCAGATGATCAAACTGATGCAAAATTATGTTAGATTGTAATGCAAAATGACTGAAAAACGGCAAACTTCACAAGGCTATATTATCCGCATTTTACAACATTTCGCAACAAAACTTTGGAATATTACTAATTTTGTGATGCTCTTTCAAGCTGTGATGAAATTGTTGCCCAGGCATATCTAGATCAAAATTTCACTCATAAGCCAAGGGGAAAGGTCTATTGTGTTTGAATACATTTTGTAGACATGTAAAGAAACAAAAGATTTTGGAGCAATACAAAAAGCTGAAGACTTTGTTAGAGCGTTTATATTAGGTTTTGAAATCAAGGTAAGATGGAAGATGTTGAGAGCATTATCACAGAATTGGTTCTGAGGGTATTAATAAAACCCTGGATGGTTTTTGCCGGCGTAGCCAGGCTAGGTAGTGACAATAACACCAGAAAGCTGCAGACTTATTCAACTTCATCTGGAAGTTAGAAGAGTAATGGTTTGAATTCAAGGGTATAGCAGCAGATTTTCAAGTTCCTGAGATTCTCTAAGAGTTCTTTCCAGTTTAATGATGATATCTTGCCATGCTAATTGTGAGAGCTGTACGTGTCGTGAAACTTTCACAAGTTTACACACAAATTGCTCTGTGACATCACAATGATCTCAACTCATTCTGAAAACTGGAATGTCATTCTTTTTATCATGTGAAATAGCATGGTTTGTGTCTCAACTATCTGAAGTGAATAACAAATTTCTGCTACCACTGTCAACAATTTTGAAGGTAGTTGAGACACAAGGTACGACTTATTGTAGAATAAACCTGTGGTGGATCCCGTATTTTGACATGAAAGTGTTCACAATATTTTATTCTAGGATGCACTTGCATTGATAAGATTGGATGACTTATTTATTGAATCATTCGAAGTCACCGATGGTACGTTAAAATTGATTTAATTTCGACATATGAATATGTGCAAATTTCCGATACTGTAGTTTGAAGTGAGTTTTTAAATGATTTTGTATTGCTTTGTTTTGACTCAACATGAATTATTTCCATGTGCTTTGCAGTGAAACCATTGAAAGGAGATCATCTTTCTCGTGCTATTGGTCGCGTGGCTGGAAAGGGAGGAAAGACAAAATTCACAATCGAGAATGTCACTAAGACGCGAATTGTTGTTGCTGACTCGTAAGTGATTGGTATAATTATCCAATATGTCCTCTGTTGACCACTACTATCAAATATTTATGCATCAAATAACAAGATATGGAACAGATTTATGAATTTAATTGTTTGTTTTCCAAGGAAAATCCACATACTTGGGTCCTCTCAAAACATCAAGATTGCCAGAACAGCGATATGTAACTTAATTCTTGGTAAGTACACTTATTTCAAAGCAACTTTTCAACATCTTGTTCATTCTATGTTGAAGGGACTTTGGTGCTGTACTTGTCATCTCTGAGTTTGTTGCTTCGATTCTCGCCATGGACCAGTGGCAACCACCCCTTCAATCTCCACAAAAACCATTCTCTCAAAAAGTCTAAATCCATAGAGATATTAGGTGGGGGGACACATGTTACATTCTCAAAGCTAAGACCAACTAAGTCTAGACCTAGGACGACAATGATTTACTGGAGGAGCTTGACGTGTCAAATCTTGTTAAAGCGTTTGTATATATGGTTCCAAGAAGAATGGATTTAGTTTAGATTTTTAACTGTTACATGGCATGTATGTCATTTTAATCCTTCACAGCCAGAAACCGCTGTGGCTATAATTGCAAAATCAGGTATCCTCTATAGCCACAAATCACCGAGGCTGTAACGTATGGCGAAATCCGACATCCGTTCTAGCCACAAACCGCTGTGGCTATAAAGTCTGATTCTCATATGTCGCTGTGCCCATTGTCGTTGATCATTGTCGTTGATCATTGATGAGTAAAATCTTTTGTCTATGTTCTTCACTGATCTCAAACAATGGCATCGCCGACGTCGGCGACACATGAGAATCAGGCTTAAGGAATACCGAAAATCATCCAGTATGCTCATGAGCATATTACAGGATTTTGGTACATACTCATGAGCTACCAAAATCCTGTAAGCTCATGAGCACGATCATGAAAACACGAAAATTATGCACTTTGGTCATAATCTTGCTCATGAGCATATTACAGAATGTTGGTACATATACCGGGCGTGCTTTTGAGAATCCCTATATGTGGTGTCTCATAAGCACTTCATAGGCACACGAAAATTACGCACTTTGGTCATAAGCATGCTCATGAGCATATTACAGGATGTTGGTACATATACGGGGCGTGCTTATGAGAATCCCTATATCATAAGCACGCTCATGGGCACACGAAAATTATGCACTTTGGTCATAAGCATGCTCATGAGCATATTACAGGATGTTGGTACATATACGGGGCGTGCTTATGAGAATCCCTATATCATAAGCACGCTCGTAGGCACACGAAAATTATGCACTTTGGTCATAAGCATACTCATGAGCATATTACAGGATGTTGGTACATATACGGGGCGTGCTTATGAGAATCCCTATATTGGGTGTCTCATAGGCACACGAAAATTATGCACTTTGGTCATAAGCATGCTCATGAGCATATTACAGAATGTTGGTACATATATGAGCGTGCTCATGAGAATACCAAACCGCCGTGGCTATAAGGTATGACGAAATCCGATATCCTTTACAGCCACAAACCGCCGTGGCTATAAGGAAAACCGTAATCCGGTATCCTTTGCAGCCACAAACCGCCGTGGCTGTACGTTTGCCGAAATCTAGTATCTTTTATAGCCAGAAACCGCCGTGGCTGTAACGTATGGCAAAGTCCGCTATCCATTATAGCCACAAATCGTCGTGGCTGTAAGTATCCCGAAATCTGGCTACGCCACTGCTACGGACTCGCATGAAAAGAGTCAGTCAACGCTCTGCCGAAAGTCCTGGGTTTTCTCTGGGTGCTCCGGTTTCCTCCCACAGGGAAAGTTGACAGGGTGGTTTAGGATAAACACAGTTAAGAAAGTAATAACACAATGGACTATTTGCGTGGATAATATAGCACTGCGAAGTTTGCCGTGTTTCAGTTATTTTCTATTACAAACGGGAAATGGACAGCCCCAAAGGGTATTGGGCTGTCAATTTCCCCCGCGTAATGCAAAATGACTGAAAAACGGCAAACTTCGCAGGGCTATATTATCCGCATTTTACAACATTTCGCAACGAAACTTTGGAATATTACTAATTTTGTGATGCTCTTTCAAGCTGTGATGAAATTTTTGACTAGACTTGTTTAGATCAAAATTTAGTCTATAATGCAAATGGTCCATTGTCGTAAAGATAAAATGCGCATTTGACACATATAAATATCTACATATGAATTTGAATTATAGAAATACTAATCGTCGTTGTCGTATTTTATATTACAGGAAGTCCTCCATCAAAAGTTTATGGCAATATGAGAGCAGTTGCAAGCAGATCTGCCACTCATTTCTGAACTCCAACAAGATTTTGTGGAAAGACTCTCAGAATGATCGAACAGAAGAACTGAATGCTAGGCTTTTACATTAAGTCAAACTACAGTATATAAGTTGAGAGAATCATTGCTGGTGATGTCTAAAACTGTTCCATGAAAGCTGCCAGTCCAATGGGCCTCTCTCAGTCATACATATACAGTATATGTCATTATATAGTCTGCGCGCAGTATAAGTCATACACTGCCCAAACTTTTTAAGTCTTCAGGCTTCAGTAGGAATGAGGTTTTGAGGCAAAATTACAGAAAATAACTATAATTATTTTGTAAATATAATACAATATGAAGTTATAATTATGATGAAATTTGTCAGAATTTTTGTGTCACCACACCCCGTAAAAACAGAGACGCACGTCTTCACAGATATATGATCTTGGCTTAGTGCCTGCAATCGGGCGCTTCGAGAGAAGAATTTAGGGAGGTGCCCGAGGTGGATTCCATGGGAACGAACCCGACACAGCAAGCCCTAGACGTAGACTTTGGAGTTAAACATTTAACAAAAATTTTGTTCATAACGGAATTCATAGCTTCTGCAATTCTCTGTTGATGTTATAAAAGAAATACCTATGGCTTTAAACGGAATGGTAAGAAAATTAATCATTGTCATTGAAACTTTTACTGTAAAATGTCATTTTTTGACGTCTTTATGTAGTCATTGTAGTGTAACAATTTGTCAATTCCAATACATTGCAAGCAACTTTAAGTAGAGGCAAAGCTCCCTACCCATTCACCAACAGTATGGAAAGAAAATGGCAAAATGCATTTTGTAATGTTTACTTTGTTTATCAGTTTATACATGACTGTTTATATTTAAACTAAACAATATTAAATGCATGTTTTTTACTATTTCCTGTTTGTGTTTCATTGTTTAGAATTCCAGCTCAGTTCGCTTTACAAAAGAACAACCTAGGTTTGTATGTATTTCACATAATCTGGTCAGAACATAGGCAGGTAGCAAATATGCATCAGTCAAACAATGTACTTCAGACAGTATATTATTACTTGCATGGCCTCTACAAAAAATCCAGTTGGAATTCCAGTAGGAATATCTATTGGAAATTGACTGTAATACACCCTTCTGGAAAGTACATGATCTAGGCTATAGAGCCTAGCTTTCGTGTATGTGAGATTAGTTAAAGCTCGATGTCTGAATCATGAAAATGAGGCTCTATAGCCAACATGACATACTTTCCAGAAGGGCATATTCAATTGCATTTTTTTTGTGTGGGGGATTTGATTCCAGGTTAGTTGGAAATTAATTCCTCCATCGCCAGTGACAACAAACAGTACATGAGATATTACCATATTTAAACATTCTAGTGTTAAAAAGACGTTCAATTTTTTTGATGACAATGGTGATGGTGACGGTAACGAGGATGACGATTTTGAGACGTTTGACGGTGACAAAGACTTTGCAAAAATGAGAGCTTCAAAAAACACGTCAAATGATGCCCCCGACGACTCTGGTGGAGAAAAACTAGGAAAAGCCTGGGGAGGAGCTGCTTACAGTTTTCAGAAAGGTTTAAATGATTTGTAAAAAACATAGTCATGATCAATTTTGTAATTCTTTCAAAACTGGGAACATAAAATATACCAAATCGTACACTTGCTTGAGACTGGCTATGGCCCTGATTTCTACACATAATAGATCCAGCTAGGATTGCTAGGGTGCTGAATGGTGCTGGTTATGGCATGCCTATGCAAGGCAGGCCAAGGGTATCAAGAGCATATGCAGGATGCATATGACTAAGGGACATATGTACAGTAGTATTCTAGGAAAACTACCCAAGCAGATTCAAGGGCTGATCTAAGATGCCAATCTATAAATCATGAGATGATTATGTTGATGTGCTCTATTGTTCAACTATCTTTTATAAACATTTTGATTGAAACCTGGCTTATTTTTTTGCCAGATGATAAACCAAATGTTCCAGCCAAAGCTCCAGTTGCAGACCCATTGTCGAGTTCAAAGACAAGTTATCAGCAAAGTAATTACAGAAAATTGTCTGAATTGTCATGACATTTTCACTAAAATAATTGACTTGATGTATATTTAATATTTTCCCCTCAATCTGTAGAGCAATCAGAACCAAATGCCAGTCCAGATGTGTTTCGCCCATTTCAAATGCGAGATAAAATGAACACCTCAAAGTTTACTGAAACAACTCGGGTTGTTCAGACTTCAACATTGAAAACTGAAGACACAACAACATCAACAAGATACGAAGCTAGTATAAGCTCCATTGAAAATGGTATAATTATACTATATTTTTTATAGTGTTAACATTATGTACGTAACTAAATCAATATACAGATACACGACAATTAGTGACTGCAATTGGTGTTCTTCATTAAGCGTTACAGGGCTGCACACAATGGTCAACTTCAAGACAATGATTCAATGAAAAGAATTAACAGCCGTTTCTACCTCTGATAACTATCCATGTTGACCATCATCGCATGACCATATATTAATGCTAAACAATTTTGACACCAAACAATATTTTTCACACAGTTGTACAGAAAGGAAAAACAGAAATGACAGATGCAGAACGAAACAGAATGCAAGCAGAAATTAAGGAATTACAAAAAACTGTCTCTGTGAGTACTAATGTAATAATTAATTTCAGTTTCCTATGTACACGCAATATGTTTGCAAAACTACATGGCAATAATTTTGTTTTAACTTTTAATGACAGAGTCTTCGCAAACAACATAAGAAAGCTCCACAGCCTGATGAAACTGTGAGAAAACTCATGTTAAATCAGGTATGATATATCGAAACTGAATATTGAAGTATATGTTAGTTGGTGAGCCAGTCTTGATCAGTATGACATTGTAATGCAAATGTTTAATATTTGACCTTTAGCCTTGTGTTTTGGAACTTTATAAATCACTGGATGGAAAAATTTCTTTATTGGATGAAGCAATAACACTTGGAGATGGCGATGCATTAATCACAGTAGGCTATGATACTTTGTGTCTTGTGGCAATCTTTATAAAAATTTATTTTTCTTGATAATTTCTAAATGTCCTTGTGTAGTCTTTTCTTTAAATCATCATTCATTGCAATTATATTTCTCTACCAGGTCGTTCTGTTTCTTAAGAAGACAGTAAAACCCAGTAAGTGACAATATATAGTCCTCAAGTTTTACAAAGTTTTAAGATTTTCCTAATTTAAACTCATCCATTCTCATCACCAAGATGGATGTCAGTTCCAGTCTAAAACGACTTGCTTAACATGCATCTCATCTGTACCATAGACGGGCATAGTTGTTAAGACAATGACCATTTCCATTTTATGGATTCCTGCAAGAAATCCACAATATACCTTCTACAGTATTTTGGCACAATTACATAGTTTAAGCATAATAATTAACATTAGATAGGAGGGTAATATAAAGTCCTGATAGTTGATTTTCTTTGCTAGGTATATTTCTAAAAGAGATAAAGAAACGTCCGGTCGCAGTTCGCCATCTTACCTTCTTCATGAAAGCACAATACGAATATGATGAACTAATTAAATTATTAAGGTACAGTTCTTCTAATATGGACATCTCTCTAATATGAACACCTCTCTAATATGGACACCTCTCTAATACAGACACCTCTCTAATATGAACACCTCTCTAATACAGACACCTCTCTAATATGAACACCTCTCTAATACAGACACCTCTCTAATATGAACACCTCTCTAATACAGACACCTCTCTAATATGAACACCTCTCTAATATGAACACCTCTCTAATACAGACACCTCTCTAATATGAACACCTCTCTAATACAGACACCTCTCTAATATGAACACCTCTCTAATACAGACACCTCTCTAATATGAACACCTCTCTAATATGAACACCTCTCTAATACAGACACCTCTCTAATATGAACACCTCTCTAATACAGACACCTCTCTAATATGAACACCTCTCTAATACAGACATCTCTCTAATATGAACACCTCTCTAATATGAACACCTCTCTAATACAGACACCTCTCTAATATGGACATCTCTCTAATACAGACACCTCTCTAATATGAACACCTCTCTAATATGAACACCTCTCTAATATGAACACCTCTCTAATACAGACACCTCTCTAATATGAACACCTCTCTAATACAGACACCTCTCTAATATGAACACCTCTCTAATACAGTCAACTCTCTAATACAGACCCCTCTCAAATATGAACACCTCTCAAATACAGACACCTCTCTAATATGGACATCTCTCTAGTACAGACACTTCTCTAACATGACTTCAATTAATGTCAGTATTAAAATTGGTGTATATATTTTTCCTTCCTCAGACTTCTGAACAGAAAGGAAGAGGCAATGGTAAATATCGTTATATATTTTCCTGGTCGTCCAGAACCATGCACCATTCATAAAAAATCTATTCAATTTCTGTAACGTAGATGTTAGAGTACAAGAAGGCAGTGGCGTCATCAAATCCAGATTCACAAATACAAGCGATAAATACATGTCAAAGGTGCGCAAGTTATTCACTTAATGTGTTGGAGTGAATAGAGGATTTGTCATTGCCTTACGTTAAAGTGACGTTTAGATTTGACTTCCACTACCTTTTACTGACTAAGTACGCATGTGATTGGTTAATCGGGTAGATTAAACGCATGCGATTGGTTAATCTGGTAGATTAAACGCATTTGATTGGTTAATGGTCCCTTTATTGTAGTGGCAGTGGAAGTCAAATCTGAACCTCAGTATTGGAGTATTGGCATCCTCTTTTCCTTGCCCATTATCAATGACTATGAATCTTCAAGTTTTGATATTTTTAATGTTTTACAGAATATATGAAACAACGCCTGATTTAGCAGACATGGTATCAGTTTTGAATGAGCACCAAACTCTTCTCAAAAGACAAGTGAAAATTGAGGTGCGCGGCCCGTGTGCCACTGATCGCATTTTTACTTATTTGAGAAGGGAGGTGCCTTGCATGGGACTATCTTCTATATAGCCTCGTTCGCACCTTCCCTTTTGGGCCAGTTGATATTGAACTAATTATTTTAAAGTAATTTATGGCACCAATAAAGTTGTTAAATATCACGTGACTATGTGGGCAAATTGACGAGTGTCCATGTTATAAAATATTTTTAATTGATTCCAGATTAAAGACAAACGAACTCAAGCAGAAGGCAAGAATCAAATCATGAGACTTCATCCACGCAAATCTATTACGTCATTACCGTTAATTGAAACATTACATTATTGTTGTTTTTATCATCATGGAAAAGATGACGTAAGTTTGAAATTATTGATTGATTGATACAGAAGAATGGTCAGTAATTCAATGCATCCTGAAAAACTGTCAGCTTGCTTATTGCATCTTATTTGGTTTTCTTAGGAAACTCTTGGTCCTGTTTCTTTGCAGAAGGAATTTAAGGTATAATTACCAACAGACAGACAGACAGACAGACAGACAGACAGACAGACAGACAGACAGACAGACAGACAGACAGACAGACAGACAGACAGACAGACAGACAGACAGACAGACAGACAGACAGACAGACAGACAGACAGACAGACAGACAGACAGACAGACAGACAGACAGACAGACAGACAGACAAAAAAAAGCCAGGAGACCTAAGGGCCGATATCAATTTTAATTTGTGGCAGCTCACAGATAAACAGTTCGAATGGATCATGATTGGAGCGAGAGCGAAGCTCAAGAAATGGGAAGACTTGGATA